CTGCTCCCCCCTCCCCCCCACCCTTGCCCCCAGCCGGCTCCTGGTTTTGGTGAACTGTTGCATGGGGCAGGGGCAGTGCTGACCCAGCCTGCAACAACTCATCAAAACTGGGCCCAAATAATTGCCTCACCCCAGTTGTAAACTGTGAATCTGGTCTCATTTTTATTGTAATGTGATATAACAATTAACACACAGTCTTTGCAGTATGAATGATTTAAATATTCATCTTAAACTGCTTCCTTTTCTCTTTACAAAAGCTTTGGGAGAAGAAGATAAAGCCCAGATGTGACTGTTTTTTTACTATAGTCATTGGTATTATGTGTTTTGTATTAAACAGAGGATGGTTGTCATGATATCTGGGAACATGATCCAGGAGCTGAAAGTTGTTACCAGTTAAACACACAGTCTGCTCTTTCTTGGAAAGATGCTTATATTTCATGCCTAGGACAAGGGGGAAATTTATTGAGCATCCGAAGTGCAGCTGAATTAAGTTACATACAAGGTAGGTGTTGTTATCAATGGTATATGGGTGAGGCGGGTGTATTTATCTCAGGAACATTTGACAAGCAAGTCACTTGCAAGGTAGCATATTATAGTCTTTATTAAAATTCTGGGTTAATTTTAAGCAAGGGGTACTGTAACTTGTATACTTAGAATTACTTGCCTTAGATTCTCTTATAACTCAACTGCTTTTATTGTAGTGTCTATGAATGTAAATGGGAGCTGATGATAAATATCCACAGTTGAGTCAGCTTGACTGTTTAGTGTCAGCACATTATATGGACTCCAGGTTCCATTTTTGATCTGGAAATCAAATGAATTACTTTCTAATAGTGCATTCATCCCTTAGGAGTGCCTTGTTCCATTGTCTTGTAATCATTTGTACAGACGTTCAGACTTGGACTGGAGGAAATGTTGCATGCTTTTAATAATATAGGAAAATCAAAGAGGGAGCAGGCAGGAAGGGAATGTTTCGGTGCTGTAATACAAATTCTGCCCAGAAGTGCATGTGCTTAATTCCCATTTAGTTTAATAAAACTTGTGCATCCATATCCAGTGGCAAAAAACTTCAGACGTGTTCAGATAGCTTCCTTACTTTAAATCAGCTGTTTTAATATATAAACATTTTGCTTTAACTGCTTTTTCCAAAAATAACTATAGCTAAAGATGGCATTGCAGAGAGATTTTGGATTGGTTTAAACCAGCTGGACATTTTTGGAGGTTGGCAATGGTCAGACCACACACCTTTGAATTTTATTAACTGGAATCCAGGTAATCGTATTATCAATTCTATTAACTAATTATTGCACAAGTTAAAACTTTATTTTGCATTTTCCTTCAATTGATTTTATCACAGCAAATGTTGTTTTCTTTAAAGGTAAATCTCACCATCTGTACAAGTTTTAAACTATAGAAGAATAAGGTTAATAAACTGACAATAAAAACGAAAGCTTAAAAACACTCTGAAATTGTTTCATAGCTTGTACAGCAACAGGCTCACTTGACAAGTTTCTTTCCCCACTGACAGAATGGAAGAGATTGAATGCAGAAATTAAAGCATTCTTAGATGTGATTCTCAAATGCTTCAACTGGACAGCATTATGCTGCTGTATTTTTTAAGCATATTTTTAGCAGCGTGCATCATAAATGCACAGTAATACATATGCAAGGGGGCTGAAGTATATTGCTACGTCATTCTGACATGCATTTAAAATCAACTGCAAAGTTATAATAGCTTGTTTCTATAGGAGGAGGTTAGGAAAGGAGAGAGATTTTAGGAAATGTATATGGATTGATCAAAGTTCCCACTGATACTAATGAGATTTTTGTTTGATTGTGTGCCTTTGGAATTTGAATTTCTGTATTTGTACTCTGGTTTTATTTGTTGTGGATATTTATGTATGAAAATCTTTGTAATATAGTTAAATGTGAATACTGAGGCTAACATTTCCTTTCAAACTGTGTCTGCCTAACGAAATGAGTAAGAAGACAGATAAGACATGGTTTCTCTGAGAGTCTGTCATTTTTTAACAAGTTTACTAAGTAGAGTTTTTCATAAGACTTGCTGCATTAACCTTTCTTTTTACAAAGTCTAAGGACTTACTCTGCCACCATATATACTTTTTCCACAAGCAGAGGTGCACCAATAGAGATTTTTTGGGTTGATATCAATAGCCGATTTTTAATGAGGTGTATCAGCCAAGACTGAGCCAGTTGCCAATATGCCGCCCGGCAACTTGAAGACCAGCGTCTGGCTGGTAAGTCTGTGGTGGAAGGGGTGTGGGAGATGCAGATTGAGGCCTCCATGGTGAGGGAGGGAGTGGGGCTGGGGCAGTCACTACACAGGGTGGGCGGGGGGTGGGATGGAGCACAGGACGGAGCCCTGAGCGGCTTGTCCAAGGTGGCGTGGGGTAGGCAACTGCTGCTGCACACACCCCTGGAGGGCTTGGGAGGCTCATGCTCCCTGGATCTGTGCATGTGGTGAGGGTGGGCTGCCATTGTGGGCTGGAGCTGGGCTCTTCCTGGCAGGGGAGCTGGGCTGGGCTGCACTCAGGATGGGTGGTGGCAGTACTGGGAAGGGAGCCATGGAGGGGGGCTGCAGGCCCCCCAAAGTCTGCCGTAGCCCCCCCAGCCCCTGCTGGGAAGAGCCCAGCACTGCCCCACCCTCAGCCCATAGCAGTAGCCTGCCCTCACCCTGCACGCAGACCCAGGGGCGCACACCCCTCCATGCCCTTCCAAGGTGTGTGCAGTGATGGGAGCTTCCCCCCACTCCCCATGCCAGACAGAGCACAGTTCCGTCCTTTGCCCCACCCCAGCTGGACAGGACCTGCCACAGTCCCACTCCCTCCCTCACTGTGGGAGCCTCGATCTGTCTTTCCCATGCCCCTTTCCTCCACCCACCCCTTCCATCACAGCTAGCTGGATGCTGTTCTTCAAGCTGCTGTGCTACGCTACTCACCACCTGCTTGCTGCACTGCAGCTGCACACATGTACAGGGCATATATTGGCCACAATATTGGTCACATCAGCCAAAAAAAGCCGATTGCCAATACTGACAATTTTCCTTATATTGGTGCCAATCTGATACAGGACCAATGTATCGGTGCACCTCTATCCACAAGTATTTATGTCTTTGGAACTGTATTAAGCAGTAATGTGTAAATACTTAGACAATGTAGCTCAAAACTCAAAGCTTTCAGGTAACAGAGGCCTAACCAAAATGCAGATCCAGGATTTACTAAAGGAGGGTGTGGCACACTGCCCCTCAGAGCATGAGGGTGTTGTGCTGAGGTGTGATTGGATTCCCCCAGGTTAATAGGGGACACTGGGGAGCTAGGTAGGGAGCAGGTACACAAAGGGTGTCAACGGGGGTCAGGTCTCCACACCACTGCTGCTATCCCAGGGAGCAGCTGTCCAGAGCCCCAGACTCAGGTAGGGGCAGCAGCCACAGGGCACAGTTTCCTCCTTCTAATGTTTTTTCCTTGTCTGCCTTTCCTTCCCCACAGGTATCCAGGAGCTGTGGAAAGAGGAACCTGTGCACTGCTGCTGCTGTGTTGCTAGCCAAGCCTGGCTCCCTGCAGGGCAGAAGCACAGGGCAGGAGCAGGTCAAAAGCAGCTCTGGGGTGCTCTCTGTGCCAGGGACAGCAGCAGTAGCACTCAGGTTCTTGCTTCCAGCACCTGATTCTGGCCAGCGGGGGAAGCATACAGGGGAGGGGTGGGGAGGGAGCAGGTGCTGGAAAGAGGAACTTGTATACTGCTGTGACTGTCACCCACATAGCTATGGCTGGAGCAAAGCAGGAGTAGCTCTGGGACTCCCTTGCACCCAGATTAGTTGGGGAAAGAGGCAAAAGTGAGGCTATATCTGCACTGTTGTAGCTCTCCTGGATCTTCCCTTGGCCAAACTCAATAAGTTATATCTGGATCCACTTCTTGTTGAAGTTGATAGCAAAATTCTCATTACCTTCCAAGTCTGCAGGAACGAGTCTTTCATCAAGAAACTAAGTTATTGTTTGACAGCAGTTTCCAAGTAGCACAGAATGTTAATCAGGAGTAAAACTGTACTGTAATGTGTTTTTGAAATAGTCAAAAGAAGTGTAACTGTAATTTCCAAATACAGAATTCCACTATCATTAAAGCAGGTATTTGTAGCTGAATTGCAATAAAAAATGCACAGGAAAATTCTTTTCCTTTCAAGTAATGTTAAACGAATTTGTATTGTAGCTTCAAATATTATTTATTTTTAGTATTAATAGAATATTCTGTGTGGTCTTGTGGTTAAGGCATAGAACTGGGAGCCAGGAATCCTTGGCTTGTTTAGAAAACTTCCTATGCAAACTAGGGTAAGGGACTGCACTGTGCTTTGTGGTCCTCAAATGGAAGGACCTGAGAAGCGCAAGGTATTATTATCCTTGCGTCAGAAAAACATGACATGAAAGAAGCATTATAATTGTACTCTGTATAAAACTTGCACTCTTACAAGTACTTGTTTCTCTCTTAAGACATGCAAAATTCATCTCCTTTGGGTGGGTCAAGTTGTGTAACGATGGATGCTACCTTTGGTCAATGGCAAAGTTTCCACTGTGATACTCCTCTTCCATACATCTGCAGGAAACCATTCAACAATACAAATTCAGAATTGCCAGGTAATGCATCCCTGCATATCTCTGTTTATGGTCAATTAATTTATATGCTAACATCCAACGATGATGTGATCACCTTCAATTGGTGATCATTCCTCACTTTGATCATGTCAGAAATGCTCTCCCAGATCTGTTTGTGCTGGCCTCCTGTCTTTTGCCACATCAAATTCCAAGCTCTTCGTTTTTAATGAGGAGCATTAACTCCATACTCTCACTCCCTCCTTTTCCTAGCTCCCTTAGCCCTACTGTCCTTTTTGTTGCATATTCCCATTTTCAGCTTTTGCCTCCTTTCATATTTTACCAGTTGCTTATATCCCATTCTTCATGCACCCTCACTCCTCCAGTTCCTCCTTAAATCCTATTTTTGCCCCAAGTAGCAGAGTCTAGGTAGGTTGAGCATAGGAACCTGGACCCAAGTCCATTGAACCCAATATCTTTTTTTTCAGTGGGATTTGAATTGAGCTCAGAACTGGGAACCTGGAATTCTCTTTTTAATTAAATTCCATTTTCCCTCCAAATAAAGCTTAAAACATAAGTAAAACTTAAAAAAGAAAAAAGATAATAGTAAATGATTTATCTTTTTTTTTATTACTTTTAAAAATTAAGGAGGCGAATGACTGCAGGTTAACTTATATGGTAATAATATTGCAGGTTAACTTTCAGTATAATAATATTGTAATAAATGTGTGTGTTGTGTTCAGGAAACAGAGGCTACTTGTTAAAGTAAAGGGCACGTTTAATGTAAAACAACACGTTTTAAGGATTGCCAAGTAATAAGAATCAACCTTTCTTTCCCAAAATAACTAGAAAATAGAAAAAATTTTAAAATGTTTTAAAATCCCTTTGTTTGCAATTAGTCCGTCTAAACCTCAGTGAAGATGGAGGTTGTTTACAGGCAGGTTCCTTGGGAGGAACAGATGGTAGCTCTTCAAAGTCGGGCCTGTGACTTCCTCTGTTTTCACAATTGGGGCCTTTGAGTGATACTATAATATACATAAATAATGACATACAGTAAAAATGAAAGCCTTCCAAATTCAAATAGTTGAGCCTGAGCAAGAGAATACAGTATGCACAGAACTAAGCAACTTGCTTTGCTTTCTCGCTTCTAAGCTGCATACTTTAATATACTTGCAAGGAAAATGTGAGTATTTTTCAGGAGAAAAAAACACCTTTTCTTTGTATCACAGCTAAGTTAATGCCCAGTTTTGCATTTCCACTGCAGACTAATTATATTTCTTCACTACTTCACTAGTACCCCTAAATTTTATTAATCCCCATAAAGTAATCTTTCCTCTTGACAAACTAAACAGTCACAAGCCTTAAATGTTTTACTATAACTTGATTGTTAGCTTTTACTGTGTTGGAACCTAAACTATGTTTTATAATGTTAGAAAGTCAATATTTCTTAAATGACATCTGTCCATAATTTTTGTAATAACAGTTTGCCAAATATTTGTCAGTTTGACAAACTGATGGTAGCCATTGGTGCCTTTTCTGTATGCTTCCTGTGACATGGGAATGGAGTTGGACTGTACTTCAGAACCAGAAGTTTACAGAGAGCAGGAGGATAACAGTTCCCAACTGAATTAACACCTTCTGATTGCTTTTTCTCGGACGTTTTAATGTTCTGCAAGAAAATGTCTTACAGATTTCAATTTATATGGTATTCTGGTAACTCATGTGGCATGTAATCCACAGCTTCTTCAGTCTCAGATGTTTGGAAATACATAGAGACTCGGTGTGATTCAGGCTGGCTCCCACACCATGGATTTTGCTATATGCTGGTAAATAACCAGGTTTCCTGGAGTGAAGCAGATCAGGTTTGCAAAATGAAAAACAGTGACCTCATCAGCATACATTCTTTAGCAGAAGTTGAATTGATTGTTACAAAGCTTCAAAATGGTAAGTTTGGATACTTAATACAAAGGCCCAGTGTCTAGGGTTGTAGTTTTTTAACATGGAAATTGTAGGCACCAGTCAGTCAGTGCCCTATCCTATACCACAAATTCATCATGATTCTCATGTTGAGTGTACTGCTGGCTCAATTCCTCCATATTAGCTGTGTTGGAAGAACAAAATTAATATTTGTCAGACTATAAATTAATGTAGCAGCTGTTTAGATAGAGCTACAAGACCAGATCCTCAGCTTGTATAAGTGTCTAGTTCTATTGATTTCAATGATAATATTGCATTGACTTCCATTAAGTTAGATGAATGCATATCAACTGAGGAACTAGCCTGAAAAGAAATTCAGCCTCTTGTTTTCTTGCTTCCTGTATTGTAGGGTTGCTTGTGCTTGATTTATTTTTAAAGCTTATATTTAATTATGTTTAAAACCAGATGGCAGTATATCTCTACCACTTGCTTGTTTTTTCCATAAATTAATAGATGTTGTCTTTTTTCTGTTTTTGCTTTTAGTTTCTCTCTCAAACTGAGGTTTCCCTCTTTTTTAATTAGTAGCTATTTTGTTTGTATTTGTCTTATAAAATAAATATGTTTTGTTGTTACCTTCCTGTGAAAATGGTAGACATAATTATAAATAATAGGTAGATGGGAGATGTTTAAAAATAATGGTGCATTTTGGATCTCAGGGGTTTTATGTTCCATCCCAAATATTGTGTTTCTGTAGGACTGAGCTTGGTGCAACTCTGCAGTGGTGCAACTGGCATCTAAAAGTCTTTGGATCCCAGTCACGCTATTGCATAGCTGCACCCAGCTCAATCATGCAGATTGGGCAGGTGGTGACTCTGTTCTAGACCCCAGGGCTGCATGATGTACAGTGAAACACTTAGGTAAGCACTGGGATTGGTCAGGGGCAGCTCCCAGTTCCAGTTCGGGACCCAGAGCTGCCCCCAGCCTGATCCCAGGAATTGAGCTGAAGTTAGACCCAACCCTGGAGCTGTCTGGGTCCTGGCCCAATAATCAGCTGATTGTCATCACATGCCCAGACAGCCCTATATCTGGTTTGAGACCCAGGGCTAGTGCTTACATTCACCTGATTGCTGGTACTGGCCGTAGACAGCTGCATGGCTGGTTCAAAACAAAGGATTATCTAGGACTGGTGTCATCAATTGTGTGATTGTCAGGACTGGCCCCGGACAGCCCAGAGTGTGGTTCCAGAGCCAGCCTGTCCCCAGTTGATGCCAGTAATCAGCTGATTGTTGGCATGAGTTTGGGCAGCCCCAGCCTAGAACACAACACATTCAGTGCCATACAGATCATGGCTGGCCTTCCATTTATGGTGCCATATATGCTGAATGTGTAGTATGCTGTAATTAGTTACATAAATGTAGTGTGCATCGGGGGGGGCGGGGTCTTAGAAACAGCATGGTAAAAAATGCACTGTGCCAGTCAAACTTTTATGATTTCATTGTCAGAATGAGGTATTTGCAAATAATCTGAGAAAGCTGCAGGCATTTTGTGGCTCCTAGACTCTTTGACACGCTGGTTTTGTATTTCTTGGGTTAATATTCCTTTGCAGCTATTGAAGCTGTATCTTTGTCCCCACTTTAACTTACAGAAACTAAAGAGGAAATATGGCTGGGTCTCATAAATGAAGATATGCCAGCTTTGTTTAAATGGTCTGATGGATCCAAAGTGGTTTTCACTTATTGGGATCAGAATGAACCAAACATTCCTTTTAACAGCACCCCGAACTGTGTATCATATTCGGGACAGGTAGGAATACAGTATTCTTTCAGTCACAGTGGATGCAGTGTTCTACACAATACATGTATGGAGGCTGAAAGAGAAAATCAAGACAGCCCAATAATTTTTTTAATAGAAAAATATAGAGAGATTGAAAGCTTTTTTTTTGTTTGTTTAAAAATGTGATTACTGTTTTTTTCCAAAACAGCAGACTTCATGAAATTAGATGTGAAAACTGGGCACTCTGTATGTATCTTGGGCTGCAAGGATTATAAAACATTGGCTACAGTTCTTGGATTCTGTGACTGCTTTGACTGTTGTTGGGTAGCCAGTTGCTATTCATATTGCTCCTCAGGTTTTGGGGTTTTTTATTTTTCTGCTCTACCTTTTGTAGTGATAGCTCTTACTATATCTTGTATGACAATAATCCAAGCAGGAGGTCAGGCAAAGATATGGAAAAGAGGAGTCAAGCCCTGGGGATTCTCAGTACTATGAGTAGCTCTGGTCCAGTGTTCCAAGGATGGGTAGTGAGATCCTTCGGGTGAAAAGCAGTGGAGAGATGTTGTAGCTGGTGGAGGGAGAAGAGAATTTGGTTTGAAATAAGACAGAATGGCTGAGCAGGAGGCAAAAGGGAGAAACACCGCAAAGATGGCACTGAAGACTGTTGAATAACTGGAGTGAGCCTCCAGCACACTGAAGAATGCCTCCCCGAAGAAAACTGATTGAGGGAGTCATGGAATCGTGGGGCAGGATTGGTGAAATGGCCGTGGGCTGTAGGATGTGGCTGCAGGTTCTCTCAATTCTTGGAATTTCCAGACTTCTTCATGCTCATCTTAACCATCATTTCTGATGGTGAAATCCAAAAGTTTGGTTTTTTCAAACACGACTTTTACAAATACATTTGAAATAATGACATGAGGATTGTACCTGATCTTGGTGTGTTTGGGAACAGTGAGTCAAGACACAGAGAAAGGGTCTGATGTTGGAGTAATCCACACTGTCGAACCATCGCTAATCTAGCATTCAATAGACCTGGTGCTTTCAAGGAGGGTCACAAAAGGCCTAAACAATCTCAAAGCAAATGAGAGTCCATGAAATGTAAAGGAAACTATAGTCAGAGCTATGTCTGGAAAAGCTAGACAAAGAGCAGGTGAGGTAGAATAAGGGATACCACAGTACCCTTACATTTAGGGTACTTGGGAAAGGCTTTTTGCAGGGCCAGAAGACTCCTACCTTTGTAAAGGAGCAGATCAATTCTGGAATCATGCCCAACAACTTAAATTATTTTGTGCCTACATTATAATGAGGGACAATAAATAGTTTTAAAGCAAAGTCTGGACAAAGACTAAATTTTAAAATGTTTTTAAGTTTTTTTTTGTTTGTTCGTTTTTAAATTCCTTTGTTCTATCTTTGTAGCAGTTGGGCCGATGGAGAATCAAATCCTGTGAAGAGAAGCTCAAGTACGTGTGCATGAAAAAAGGAGAGATTTTGAACGAAACAAAATCTGATAAACTTTGTTCCCTGAAAGAGGTAATTGTTCACAACTAAAATTTGTCTTTTAATCTTAGCTCTATTAAACATTTGCATAAAATGATCTCTCCACTCTTTTAGTTCTATCTACTTAATTGAATTCTAACTTTAAAAGAATGAATAAAAATATCATAGTCCTTGTTTTACCAGGATGTGTCTTTTTTGTTCTTGTTACTACTCTGTTGATCAGAGAAAATACTGTGAAACTAGTAAGTAGGCTGAAATGTAAGCTGTAGTATTTTTAGACTATAAAAAAAAAACAGTTTTAAAAGATGGGCTCTAATTAATTCCATTTGTTTGTTTTTTGTATTTTTTTCATTGTATTTCACTGTTTTCATGCACGTGTTTTGCAACCCACAGATTGCATTCACGGTGTGCCTGGTAAACAGCACCTAGAAATGAAATGGATTAGATTAGAAAGCCATGACCCAAACCTGTTTGTTCTCTGAGTGGGGGGAGTCCAAAATGTATGTTATAGATGCTTAAAATTTGATTTCTAAAAAGGCCATTTTAATAACTTAGGGATGGTATTATTAGACAACTAGAGAATTTTAAAAACTTATTGTTAATGTAGCATAATGCCTGCAGGAAAAAACATCTTCACCCTCAATCACTGTTCTTTACACTGCCCTAGGGTACTTGGCCTCTGTTACTTCAGAGTCTGTCAGTATCAGTACCCCAAGTTAACCAGTGCAGTTCCTGTGCTCCATTGGTAAAGAATCATGGCAATGTTGGTAAAGAATCATGGAGTTCAAACCACACCACATGTGTAAGGAGAAACTCCTTATCAAACTGACTAGTAACATAAATTCCTACATTTTATATTATTTTAAAAAATCATTTTTTTAAAGTAGTGCACCCTTTTTAACACCAGCTTCTTGAGAGCTAGTGACAAAAAGCTCCCATTAACCTTAGTGATGTTAGAATTTCATCCTAATACCTACATCTGACAGTACTCTGCATAATATTGCTTATGTTATGGTGTGTGTTATTCCTGTGGCTACATCTACTTTCCTTCCTTTCCTGGTAACAACAGATATTGCGTCTGATCTAGTGGTCTTCACTCAAAATAAGGTTATTAGATGTAGGAATAAGACAGTGGTGTCCTATTCTTTGGTATATTACTTCTTCCCTGGTTTAGCATATGAATTCTATAGCACTCCAAGCTTTTGTCTTGTTAATAGTATGTCATTGCATAGATATGAAACAATGTCAGAAATTTTTTTTTTCTGCAGAACTGGAAAGTTACTAACTATAATCTGGTCTTTAAAATAGCAAATGTATTTAATTCTCTAAACTTCTAGGGGTGGGAGAGACATGGAGACTACTGTTATACCATTCGTAACAGTGAAGTATCATTTGGAGCCCAGTGCAATCTTACAGTAATGAACAGGTACAGTATAGCCCTATAATAATGTTGTTATTTTATTTATTTGTATTATAGTAATGCTGGAAAACGCAATGCAGGACAAAAGTCCTCTTCAGTTAGGCATTGTACAGACAAGTGATGGGGAGGGAACTATGCCCTAAAGAGCTAATAAACTAGGTTTACATGGCCTAACAACAGTAAAACAAGTATTACTGTTTTACTTAATATCATTAGTAGTCTCAGCTCGCTATCTGCCTAGCTGTTAGCAACTGTTAGTGCTTTGATAGTTCAAGCTGCATACAAATTAAAACCATCATAATATACCTAATCTATCAGAACCAGTTAGGCTTATCTACGTGAGAATATCCTTAGTTTTCCAACTGATTTGATAATTGAAATATTGATGTGACATAATTGTGAATGTTACAGATTTGAGCAAGAATTTATAAACAGTTTGATTGGAAAATATAGTAAAGTTGAAGCAAAATACTTCTGGATTGGCTTACAAGATCTTAGTCATTCAGGAAGGTATACCTGGGGCAACGTAGATGGGGAAGAAAATGAAGCTGTGACGTATACAAATTGGAATTCATTGCAGCCAGGTAAGGTCTAACAATTCAGAAAAGAAAAATGATATATTGAAGTACATTTTTAATCTTGCATGAACAAGTTGTTTGAGAGCCTGTGAACTTTGAAAATCTAGCTGTTGGATTTCAAAATGTTCTCTTTTTGCCTCAAATCTTAGCATTTTCAGGAGGATGTGTGGCAATGCCAAATGGGAAATCCCTTGGAAAGTGGGAAACCAAGGACTGTAAAACATTTAAAGCTTTTTCTATTTGCAAAAAAAATATTGGGCCACCCAAACAGCCAAAAGTACTGCCTAAGCCGACCGATCAGTGTCCTCCTGGATGGCAAAATGGATCAGGCCTTGCCTGCTATAAGGTAATACATTATCCCTCGTAGATGACTTAATTGCCATCCCTCTTGCCACTCTCTCTTACCGTGTGTGTGTGGAAGAGAGATTAGATTAGTAACCTGTTTTTTGGCATTAAATTGTGATGAACAAGGTACTGCACTCAGAGCCAATCAGAATTCTTGCTGACTTGAATGACCCTCCTCTGGTTGCTTTTAGATACTACATGCTAGAGCAGCAGCTGCACCATCCTTTAAAGGGAGCAACTTGTACATCTCTGCCCCTGCTATCCTGGTACTTATCAGGGGACCGATCTAAATTGCAGTGGAAGTGTACTGTGCAGCGGCTCCTTTAATCTTGCTCTTTAAGCCACACGACCCCTTTCTGCTGATTTGGCCAAGGGTCCCTGCCATTTGCTGTTGATCTGACCATGAGGCAAAAACCACAGTTTTTAAATATGTTGCAGTTTTTGTCTCCCATCACTGATTGGCAAAGGGACCCTGGTGGCCCTGCCACTGATCAGCCAGGAGGGAAAAACCATGGCACATTTTTAAACCATGTTTTCTGTCTCCTAGCCTATCAGCAGCAAGTGGCAGGACTGCCAGGGCCCTTCAGCGAAGTGAGGGAGGCAGGGTGTGAAAAGAGCATAATTAAAGCTACCATGCAGCACACTTTCACTGCAATTTAGGTAGGTCCTACTCATCATATGTCATGGAGCGGAAAGTGTATGTACCATGGCATGACTGCCAAGCTTTATAGTGAGGCACGAAATGCATTTTTCTCGGGGTGCACCAATAGAAATTTTTTTGGCTGATATCGATGGCCAATATTTAACAAGCCATATTGGCCAATATTGATCTGATTGCTGATGTGTGGCCCAGCAGCATGGAGCATAGCGTCCTGCTGTTAAGTGTGGGCTGAGGGGGAAGAGGGGAGGGGTGGGGTGTGGAGGGACCAGACTGAGGCCTCCATGGTGAAGGAGGGAGTGGGGCTGGCGCTGGGGCAGAAGCAGGTGCTGCCCAGGAGGAGTGGGGCACGGGATGGAGCTGCAGCTTGTCTGTGGGGCAGCTCCCACCACTGCACACAGCACCTATCCCAACCCCACTCCCTCTCTCAATGCAGGAGCCTTGGTCTGCTCCTTCCCCACAACAGATTTACCAGCTGGTTGCTGCTCTCCACATTGCTGGTCTGTGCTCCTGGCCTCCTGTGTGCTGCATGCATGCACAAGATTTTTATCAGCAACATTACTGGCCACATCAGGCAAAAAAAGCTGATTGCTGACTAATGTCAGTTTTCCTTTTATTGGTGCCGATTTTTCCCCACCTAACATTTTCTTTATATTCTCTCAGGGGAGACTTGATTTCTATCCCCACTCCTCCCCCCCAGTCTGAATGGGAGGGGAATAAGGAGTTAAAGCTACTAAAGAATATAGGCATATTTTTTAAAGTGTATTTGCTATTGGAAGGTAGCTAGAAAAAGGCTGACTTACAGAGTCAAAGTGTTTGCTAGAATGCCTTTGTTGACCTTGGATGTAAGATATTAATACTTTTTCTTTTTTTCTTTTTTTGTATTTAAAAAATTCCTGAAAAACAACTTAGAATCAAATTAAGTAAGGAGTAGAATGGTTAATTAAATTAGAGCTGCTCTTTCTGGATTCACTGTTTAGCATGAAGTTCCTACTTGAGACAGAAAAAAATTAGAGGGTAACATACTTTAATGCTCACATAGGCTGCACTTCTATGCATTAACCAGCTTGTGAGTACTAATAGAGACCTGCTAGATTGACCAGAGTTGGGACAGAAGGGTCTGGTCTGAAGAGGGTAATGCAGGGGTGGGCAACATATAGCCTGTGGGGCAGATCTGAGCCTGCTGACTGATTGGATCCAACCCGCAGGCACCTGCCGAGTAAATGAATCTGGCCCATTGGTTCGCAGCAGCTCTGGCTCCAGCATTCACATGGTGCCAAGCAGCCAGGGTTACTTCCAGTGTGCTCTGTGTATGTGTTTGTGTGTGTGTGTGTACTCTCTCTCAGCTGAGGCTGCCACAAGTATGGAAGCAAAAGCAAAAAACCTATTTGCAGCTGTAGCATGTCCCCAGGCACCTGGAACTCCAACCCTGAAGCTGCCAGCCATGTTTGGTCATCTGTGAGTGCAGTCAGCAGCTGCTGGATCCGTATTTGGAGGGCAAGGTGCCCACCAGCACAAATAGTTGCCCACACCTTGGGTTCAGTTGGAGAGACCTGGCTGAAGTATGGCCCTGGCCAGCAGAGCCTGCCTGGAGTGTGGATGGTGATCCTGGCTGGCATCGGCTGGTGATAGCTGAGAAAGAGAAGGAGAGAAATGGCCTGTCTGAAGGGGTTAGCTGAAATGGAGCAGCAGGGGCTAGATGAGGGGTAACTAGCCATTGGGAGAATGAGGTCCAGCTGAGGGAGGTAGGGTTTTACCTGAAGAGTATCTGGAAGGAGGGAATTAGCTGGAGTAGGGGAGAGGAAGAGAAGCTGGCTTGTGTAGTTAGTGATAGACCAGCCTTGGCCTATTCAAGTCAAGTGGGCAGCACTGTAGTAAGCTTCTACCTATGATTATAAGGAGGCAGCAGCAGAGGGTGCTAGAGACCTGCATCTGCTTTCAGCACCTCTGGGCTTGATTTCGGAGCAGATGTTTTGATTTTCAGCAAAATCTAAAGGGTTCTTCACATTGATATCTAGAACATTCCTAGAATTTTTTAAGTTGACTGGATACAGTTTTCAGATGTTATTGTAGTACATGTAAACAGATGGAGAAATGCCATCAAATTGAATGGAAAGCCTCACTTCCCTTGACTGTCAAAAATGTGAGCCAAAATCCAGAGAGTTCAACTATTCCTGCAATTAAAACTGAAAAAATACATAAAGTACAAAAGGAAGGTCTCCCTTAAGAGAGAGAGTTAATCTTACACAGATTACACCCATCTTGAATAACAATGATTTAAAAATGCTGCAGTTTTGTCATGCAAGTGAATTTAATAGTAATTTGGTTTCTTTGTAAAGTTCTTTCATAGAGAGAGAGTGCTGAGAACCAGGACATGGGAAGAGGCAGAGAGATTCTGTGAAGCACTAGGAGGGCATCTCCCTAGTTTTAGTCACTATGAAGAAATGAAGGAACTCCATTCTCTACTAAGAGACATAATCAGGTAACTATCTGGAAATCCCATTATCTGATTTCCATTACACATTAGTGTAAATCCAGAGTGCTGCTGGTGAGTTTACACAGGCTTTGACCCCATATGTTTAAGTCTAAAATGCAATGCATCTTGGCTCAGATCTTTCCTACATCCAAGTAGTAAAAGTACAGGGATTTTGGTTTACAACTCAGTAAACGTGATCCTATTCCACTATATCAGAGTGTTAAGACGTCTAGATTTATGATTCTCCCCTTTTTTACCTGGAAAGATCCTTAAGTAACTAGACTTGGGTTATGTGAAGATGTTCAGTTTTTCCTGGGAGTTTTGCTTTTCTCCTAGGAAAAACCACAAGTGTATAGATGTTCATGTGCTTTTCTTTCAGAGCAAAAACACCTGCTCTGAGAGAAAAGTAAATCTGAAATGGCTGAAGTGAAATGACTCTCAGGAGACCTGGACATCTGTACAGGCACACCTCTGAGAGAAGCTGCAGAGCAGTCCCCTGGAATGGCAGCAAGCTTTGCTCCCTGCCTTGCTTCCCCCTCTTGGGTCCAGGAAGACTGTGTCAATCCCAGCCAAGCAAGGAGCAGAACACACCCTCTGAATGCCCAGTGTCAAAGCACTTAGGGGGTATGTTCTGCTCCTGGATTTTTCAACCAGAGCCAACCCCACCTGCTGTGGACCGAAAGAGCACTGGTTTCACTCAGGTCAGAGTGAAATTGAGTGACCTGCTCGCCCCAACCTGGACCCAGCTGATCCCAGCCCCCCTGCCCAGACTGCAGCACTTGGTGCTGAGAAGGACAGCTTCCTGCCTTTCTGCAACTGGGCTGGACACAGCATGGGCAATTTGGGGCTAGAGGACTCTGGGCATGGGGCAGACATTTCCCTTCCCCCTTTCCCCCCTCCAGACTGCAGTACTTGAAACTCTGGGACCCCCTAGCAGGCCAGTTTCAGGACTGGTGGCTCTTTGCTGCTTACCTCGAATGTGTGTACAGGGCTCTCCAGGTAAGTTCTAGCGGGAGAAAAAACCTGAGAGAATTCTCCCAGATCATTTGAACGTGTGTACACAGCCTTAGGCAATATACAGGTGTTAGTTTCTACTGGGAGAGTTGCCCCTTTTCCAATAGAAAGTAGGAGCATGCAAGAATTAATTCAGTTTCTTCTGGAGGAAAGATGCTCCCTCCAGGAGAGAGATCTTCCAGGTTGGCACGTAAGAGAGAAATTGAACACTTGTTTGCTGCTTGTTGCTTGATGACTCCTCCATGTTCTGGTAAGTTCCCATTCTGGAGAATGCACAAAGGGCTTTGTCCTGCTTCTAATATCCTTCCATTCCAGTATACATAAGGGGAATGGAGTAGCTGGGAAGGATTCCCTATTCCTTCCCCAGATCAGGATGTCCCCAGTCTAGAGAAGCACAGGGAGCCAGACTTTGTTGCTACCCATGGGAGTGGGAGAACTGGAGCAGCCACTGCTCCCTATGCCTCCCCCAGGCTCTTGCCCTGGGTTGGAGAAGACATGAGGAGCAGGGAGAGAAGGGGTAGTTTCAGACAGACCACCTGTACTACACACTCTGCCAGAAACATTTCTGAGAAATTTCTGCCACTAGATATGATCAGCTATTTGTACCCTTAGCCTCCTCTGCATGCTTGTTGACAATTCAGAACAGCCATTTAGATGTTTACCTCTGGTTAAGCTTAGTTGTTAATCGGTTACATCTGGGAAGCACACAATATCCTTAGGCATTCTCACCTCCTCAGATGGAGAATAATATGAAAAAAGACAGCTTGATGTTGAGATTGTGGGTAGAGGAGGAGGTTCATGAAAGTTTGTGCTCTAGGTGTATCTTATTTAGTTAATCTATAAGGTGCATATCTACCCTGCCTTCAGAAGAAGGAGGACCTGCCCAATAGGTTAATAGTCAGGGTACTTGCTGTGGACATCAGAGACGAGGGTTTTAGGACCTAATTAGCTCGAGCACTTCACAGGAACATGCTCTAAATATTGGGCATTAAGCTAGACAGGTTGGAGGGTATAGTTTCGTAGTTAGTAGGGTCGGGAGGGACCTAAGCAGATCATCGAGTCTGACCCCCTGCCATGGCAGGAAAGAGTATGGACAACCCCAGCAAGGTGTTCATCTAGCCTTCTCTTAAAGACCCCCAGGGTAGGAGCCAGCACCACTTCTC